GAACATTCGAAAAATCATTTAGGCCGCATATATTTTCTAGTTGTGTTTTTATTATTTTGCCAAGAACTGTGGAGCAAAAACCAGAATGCTATTAATTAAGATCAAGATTGCAAGGTGCCAGTCAGAGGTGGCAATAACAGCTTTGGCTGGCCGCTATTTTATTTCTATTTGTATGTGTAGTGTTTGTTCTTTGTGGCCATTGTTAGTTTTTGTCATTGTTTTTCGTGTTATTTTCGTATTGTATTGTTCTCTAGTTGTTATTGTAATATTTGTCTTGCTTTATTTAGATCTAGGTTTACTTTTTGTTTTACGTTTGATTGCCTTCGTTTGTTATTTTCTTATTGTTCTGTTTTCTTTTGTTATTTGCGTGTTATGCCTGTTGTTCAAAAGAACCGTTTGCGTTGGCTTCTCTCATTTGAAGTTTACAGATTATCTCGTCGGACATGGAGCGCCAAAACATAAACTTTAAACTTTTATCATTAAATGCTCGTGGAATTCGCTCTTTTGATAAAAGGAAGTCTATTTTTAATTGGCTGTTTAAATCTTCTGCCGATATATGTTTCCTTCAGGAAACGTATAGCACCCCAGAAGTGGAGAATGAATGGAAAAAACAGTGGAAAGGCAAAACATTCTTTTCCCATGGAACTAATCATAGTAGAGGCGTTCTTATTCTTGTTAAAGATCAGCTAGATTTCAGACTGCAATCCTTAAAGGTTGACTCGCAAGGTCGATACGTTCTCCTAGAGGCTCTTATTCAGGATTCTCCATTTGCACTTCTAAACATCTATGCACCAAATAAATGTGCCGAGCAGTGCGATTTTTTCAACAAAATTTCAGAGGAGCTTAAAAGCTCGCTCACACTTGCGGATTCTTCTTGTGTTATCGGTGGAGACTTTAATGTGATTTTTGACCAAGATCTTGATGGAAGTGGGGGTATTAAGAAAACGAAGGAATCAGTCAAAATTCTGGAGGATATTTGTTTGGAGCAGGATTTGATAGATATATGGCGTGTTAGAAATCCGACGGAGAAACGCTTTACGTGGAGACAGAAGACCCCAATTATTCAGAGACGTTTGGACTATTGGTTGGTAAATGATTCTTTGCAGGACGACATTGTTTCAGTTGACATAATACCATCTATTAAATCAGATCACTCTGCAATTACATTGTCGATTAACGGTATAGATGACAGTAAACGCGGTCCAAGCTTTTGGAAGTTTAATTGTTCTTTAGTGAATGATACTAATTATTGCGATCTCCTTGACACAAACATCAAAAGTTGGCTCGAAGAATTTAAGGATGTTGTTGATAGGCGTGTCTTATGGGACTTGCTAAAATACAAAATTCGACAGCTCACTATAAGTTATAGCAAAACAAAAGCTCGGAACCGGAGAGCTAAACTTAATGAACTGGAAGAAAAATTACAGAACTGTACCAAAAAGTGTGACAATGATCCATCGAGACAAAATGTTGAAGATTTAGAATGCTTACAGGCAGAATACGACCAACTGTATGATTACATTACTCAAGGAGCTATTGTTCGTTCCCGTGCAACGTGGTACGAAAAAGGTGAAAAGAACAACAAATATTTTTTGAATTTGGAAAAATCAAATAAAAATAAAAGTTGTTTGCGGAAAATTTTAAAAAGCGACGGAACAATAGCAGTTGATCCTAATACAATTATGAGTGAATTAGATTTCTTTTACTCCAATCTTTACAAAGAGAATAATAGTCATTCATCGTCATTTCTAGATGACTTAAAGGAAGTTCCTACCTTGACTGAAGAGTTGCGAATGGTATGTGAAGGAAGGATAGAATATAATGAATGTTTTAATGTCTTACAATCCTTTCCAAAAAATAAAACGCCTGGGAACGATGGACTAACAATAGAATTCTATTTGGCTTTTTGGTCTTTGATTGGGAAACCTCTAGTAGATTGCATCAACTACTCTTATGAGTTTGGAGAACTTTCAAACTCACAAAAACAGGCTATAATCACATTAATTGAAAAAAAAGGAAAGGATAAACGAGTAATTAAAAATTGGCGGCCTATATCGCTAATTAACGTCGATGCGAAAATTATTTCTAAAGTTTTAGCGAAGCGCCTGGAAAAGGTCTTGCCAAATTTAATACATCCCAGTCAGAATGCATTTGTTAAAGGTAGGTCCATATTTGACGCAATTAGAACGATTGATGATATTGTGGATTACACCAAACGGAACAGTTGGTCGGGATTTATGATCGCAATTGACTTTGAAAAAGCCTTCGACACACTAGACTTTCGATTTCTAATCAGAACATTACACAAATTCAATTTTGGCCCATCTTTTATTCAGTGGATGCGTGTTCTGTATAAAAATGCATCCAGCTGTGTAATGAACAATGGATTTACGACTGGTCCTTTTCTACTAGGTAGAGGTGTCAGACAGGGGGATCCACTCTCCCCTTACCTCTTCATCCTAGCGCTTGAGACCTTAGCTATAAAAATAAGAGAGGACTGCAATGTACAAGGGCTTAAAATTGGAGAAGAAATGATTAAACTGTCTCTATTTGCAGATGATATGACCTGTATCTTAAAAGACAAAACATCTTATACAAATCTGTTTCGTATTCTCAACTCTTTTGGAGAGTGTTCCGGCCTAAAGGTGAATGATGAAAAAACAGAAATCATGCCTCTAGGAGATAATATCCTACAGGAGAAAGACTTCCCAACTCATAGTATTTGTGAGATCATAAAAATCTTGGGGATATATTTTGGTTATGATGATAGACAAAGGAACAACCTTAACTTTAGTCAAACTTTAAAAAGTATAAAGGAATCAATCAACGTATGGAAATGGAGAGGGCTCTCCCTTTTAGGGAGAATACAGATAGTCAAAACTTTCGCAATCCCAAAGCTTATGTTCAGAGCATCGGTTATACCAGTCTCTAAAGAACTAATTAAAGAGGCAAACTCAGTTCTCTACAACTTTATTTGGAATGGGAAGGACAAAGTGAAGCGTCTTGCATTGATATCTGATATAGAAATGGGTGGACTCAAAATGTTGGACATTCAATCTATGATTTGCGCTAAACGAATAACATGTTTAAAGAAATTATTGGAGGATTACTCAAGTCCTTGGAAAGTAATCCTAGACAAACTTCTGTTACCAGTCGGAGGACGTTTTGTATTGCATTGCAACTTTCAAACTTCTAAATTGAAAATCAGTCTACCAGCATATTATAAGGAATGCTTCGATGCGTGGTCGGAGGTTAATGGGAAGACTCCAAGTTGTTACGAGGAAATCATTAACGAAATTATCTGGAACAACAAATTTCTTTGTTATGACAAAAAATCGATGTACAGAAGAGATATAGTAAATTTAGGCTTCGTGAAGATTAAGGATTTAATTTCTGCGCACAACTCCTTCTTGTGCGACTTCTCTTCACTTACAAACCCTGAACAACGATTTTTTCTTATGAGTATTATCAATTCGATTCCCGCAGAATGGCGCTCACTTATTAAAGCATCTACAAACGTCATATCAGCCAATCCCATACCGATTACCCCAACTATTAAGTTGCCAAGTGGTAATGTAGTGCCAATCCTTGATATCTCTCCTAAACAGATCTATCAAATCTTTCTGCAGCAAAAGCAAATTGCGCCCACCGCAAAACAGAAATTGTCAAACAATTACGCAAATATAGATATTGATTGGGAAAAGGCTTACACTTTGGCCTTTCATTGCACTTTGGACACAAAGATCAGGGAATTTCATTACAAAATTTTAAATTGTATAATCTTTACAAACGTGAAACTTAATTTAATTGGTGTGGTGGAATCGCCAAACTGCACTTTCTGTCAAGAAGCAGCGGAATCCGTCGAGCATTTACTCTTCTCCTGCAGGATATCTTCTGAGTTTTGGAAGCATGTCTTGTCCTGGCTAAGAGATAATTATGTTCATGTTGAGACAATTAATGAGTCTGATGTGATATTTGGAAAATTTGATATTGTAGAAGACTATATTCTAATTAATCATATTTTGTTATTAGCTAAATATTATATCTACTGTAGGAAATGTCATAATAGCGTACCTTCAATTAGAGGTTTTATTGCTAGGGCAAGACGTGTCTTCAATATTGAGCTCCATATCGCCAGGGAAAAAAATAAACTTCTTTTTCATTTTCAAAAGTGGGAGAAGCTAACTAATGCACTTTGTAGTAGTTGATACCCATAGGTTCGTTAAAATTAGCAAGCATCTTTATTAATATCGTCGTTGTTGTAATACATACATACATTTTTCGTTGTTGTTATCCTTTTTCCTTTTTGAGTAGAATTGTATTTAATGTTTATTCTTAAGTAAAATTGTAAAACTTGCCTTTAATTCAATAAAAACTGTTAAAAAAAAAAAAAAAAAAGGAATCGTGGAAGAGGATGAGGTGACAACTCTGGAAAATGAGTTCCTCGAGTATCAACTTCTTGATGATAGTGAACTACCAGACACTTCTCTCGTAATGGCTGATGGTACTGTTGAAAATAGAAGAATTGACGAGGTTTGGTCCCTACACTGGCAAAATTCATTACAGCGATACTATTAATTGCACACAGCAATGCGGACTGTGAGAGACTATTTTCAATGGTGAGGAAAAACAGAACCGAGTCCCATTCAAGCATGGCTGTTGGTACACTTTCCGCCTTAATTGCAACCAAAATTAATCTTTTCGGCAATCTTAAGTGCTACCAGTTCAGACCTGGAAAGGAAGTGTTCGTAAAGCTAAGATAGCCACATGTAATTTGTTAAATAAAAATACCAATTAATATGTGCTTTATTAAAGTGCATATAAAATAATTTTTTTTGGTGCGTTTTTCTGCAGTTTGTTGTATTCAGAGAACGAAAATTATAATTTTTGCAACTGGAGAAACTCGCAAGGCTGCAATTTCGTCAATGAAAGAAAGGCATTTACGCCGCTCTAAAGGTGGTTCCATTTTGCTGAGGGACTGGGGCAAATTATGACGTAAA